GTGTACATGTTTGTTCTTGTTGTTTCAGATAATCCTGTCATGATGAACAATGCTAGTAGACTCATATTACTGGCCTGTTTCATGCATAAATTAAGAATGGTAACAATTGTTATTAATTGATTAATTAATTAATTATTCATAGGTGGCAATTGATGGTTCGGAGGCAACTGTGAAAGAACAGGTAACATGCAGTGGGTGTGGTCAGTAGTTATTAATAGTTATTAATAGGCAAAGATACGTTCCTTGACTGATCGATTTGGTTCTGATACTGGCCAGTGGCCGATAACCAAACGAGTCCTCAGTCCCACCCACACACCATCACCGGCCCCTTTGACCCCGCCTCCTGTAGCCACGCCTACCTCTCCGCCTACTGTACACGTCTCATGGAGTGTAGAATCCTTCAAGAGATCCCCCAGTGTTATATCCGACACCTCTCCTTCTCACTCTCTCTCGACTAACACTTCAGAGTCAGTTGATCATCCATTATTCTTTGACCATTATCCATTGGGAAGGCCTCCCTCTCTCCCTCCGTCACGAGATGATCCTGATGGACAGTCAGACAGTCCTTGTCTTGACTCCTCCCCTCTCTCCTTAGCCACACCTCCTTGTACCCCTGCAGGGGGACAGGAAGTGGGTGTGATTTCAAGTATAACTCCTCAAATGATATTAAATGCTTTGGAGTCTTTGTCCTCATCTCAGACCAGAAGTGTTTCTCCTGATAGTCTGTCACAAGCACTTCAGGGTTTCATTAATGAGTACTTACTGGCCACGCCTCCTTCCACCCCTCTTAACGAGGGAGAGGAGGATCATCCCTTGTCCTCTGCTGATCTCATATCGGCTCTCACTGCTACTCTCAGTGCTCACATTGATGGGGAGGGGAGCGAGGGAGGGAGTGCTGCTCCTTCTGCTCCTGTGGGTTCTCCTCAAGAAGGATTATCTGAGTTGGTTCGGTTAGGACTCCAACCTGAGGATATACTTAAAGCATTGAATAGTCTCACAGTAGCTGGGCAGCTGGTAGAGGCTAAGGCTCCAGGTGAAGACGATGAGTCTCTCTTAGAAACACTAACTCTTGATGAATCAGTTACTACAGGTGGTGACACTCAATAATTAGTGTGTGTCTTAATTATATGATTCGTGTGTCTATATAAATTATATTATAGTGTACGTTAATTATAAAGATTTTGTTTAATATTTTTTATTTTATTTGCGG